GGTGTTTTGGCTTTGTTTGAACTCTTTTGTCTTTACTTGGGACTTTGGGGTGTGGATTTTGGTGTTTTGGCATTGGATTTTTGGATGTATGTTCCTTTGGATCTGGACTTTATTATTTATTTTTCTTGGTCTCTTTAGTTTTCTGCTTGACTTTGGACTGTTTGACTTTGTTGCTTTCAATTGGGCATGTCATTAAGCTTTCCAAGCATTTTCCAACTTCATTTATTCAAGCTCTGATTTTTGCCTAAGCCGCCCTCTCGGGTTCTGAGCCGCCCTTTCGGGTTTTCAACTTAGCGAGCTACCCTTTTTGCCTAAGTCGCCCTTTTCCGGGTTTTCACCTTCGGCGGGCCCCGATTTTTGGCCTAAGCCGCCCTTTCGGGTTTTTCAACTTTAAGCGGGTTTTTTTTTTAATTTTTTTTAAAAAATAATATTTTTTTTATATGTTATTTTGGTTTCCTTCTTTCTTTTTTTTTTTGATTTGGCAAAGCAGAATGCAATTGTTATAAAGTGATTTTTTTTATTAATGCTTAGACCGCGCCCAAAGAGGGCTGCCCTACATATCTCCGATACATATTTCTTTTTTTTTTTTTTTTCAGAGAACTCAGGTCTAATGTAGTTCATTTTGCATTTATGCAATGCTTATTACACAAATATCCCTTTTTTAATGATCTAAATTACATGGATTGTGAATTCCAAACCATCTAAATCACGTCAAGATGACGGCTCCGCCGGACATATTTCTTCAACACATAGGGTTTCGCAGCCCATGAGGCCGAAACTTCCCCACGTGGGTCTATGATTGGCTGTCTATCTCCTCAGGAACCTTCTTCCAGTTTCCGGTCTTTGACCCTCTTATTAAAATGTCGTGCCATTCTCCTCTGGTAGACTTGAGTTTGGTGGATTGCTTGCAATCGCTTTTTGTCCATACCCAAAAGTTGCAAGTGATAATTCTTAGTCCAATCCACTTCGCTGATCTGGCTTTCCTGAATGATCCGTGCCGACTGAACTTCCAGCTCAATAGGCAATACTGCTTCCATACCATATACTCAAGAATACGGAGTTGCTCCGGTGGGCGTTCTGATTGAAGTCCTATATCCCCATAGAGCATTCGGTAACTGTTCATGCCAGGCTTTGTGCTTCTTAATTGTCTTTTGCAAAAAATAACTTTTATGGCCTTAATTTGGCAGCTTCTCCAGCCCGTTTGTTTGTGGACGTAGGGTGAGGACTTATTGATGTTCGAATTCCTCGTTTCTTTCAACAAATTAGAAATTCACTCTGAAAGTGAGACCCATTATCCGTCGATCGATCTCGACATGGAATGTTCCGTACCGACAAAGGATGTTTAGTACGGACAACTGTGCTGTCTTCTTTGGCATTTAAAAACTGCCTATAGGGCTGCCTCGACTCCACTTAGTGCAAATAATCTACAGCAACCAGGATGAATTGATGGCCGTTAGAGGTCTTCGGGTGGCATTTTTCGATCACATCTATGCCCAAGTGTTGCGAAAGGCCATGGTGAAGTAATGGGATTCAGATTGACCGGAGGCTGTCTTTGTGATTAGCAAAAACTTGCCCATTCGTGGCACTTCTGTGCGTGCGGTCGCGCAATTGCATTCATTGTCGACCACCGTAATAACCAAGTTCGCGATTTTTCGAGCCAAGGCTATCCGTGCATGTGTGGACCAAGACTCCCCATTGTGTAAAGGATCCATGATGGTTTGAGCTTCTTTCCTCTCAATGGGTGCAGGCCGCTCCAACTTCTCTTATACAGAACTCCCTCAGTGAGGAAATATCCGGATGCTAACTGTCTCAATGTCCGTTGATCAGTTTTGTTAGATCCCTCCGGGTAGGCTTCATTCTGAAGATAATTCTGTATATCCCAATACCAGGGCTTGTCATCGACCAAATTTATGATATGTGCTGGCTGCTTCTGCAGCCGCACTGTCAAAGGTCGAATGACTCGATCTCCTTCTATATTGACCATAGAGGCTAGAGTAGCTAGAGCATCTGCAAACTGATTTTTGGATCGTGGCAAGTAATGGAAGGATAAATCCTCAAATTGCTGAGCCAATTCCTGAGCCAATTCGTCCAAGGTCGTAGGTAAGGAACCAAACGCTCTTCTTTAATTTTCCATTTTCTTAGAGCTTGAGAGGACTATCATATTGGAATCTCCAAAAACCCTAAGGATTTTTTATTTCCTTTCTCGCGGGCACTTCCAAACCCCTTGATGCAAGCTTCATATCGGCCTTCATTGTTTGGTATACGTCGAAATATAATTTGACAGCGATTGGAAAT